CTTGGAGACAGTTTTATACACAATATGAAAAGTTGCAATTTGACTTAAATAGAAAGTGAATTGAGAGCTTGTTAAGGGGGTCTTAATTCTTTAGCTTTTAATTAAGGTAATTCCTCCAAGCCTTGTTTCCTTTTGTGTGTATATATATATGCATAGAATTATATCATTGACTTCTCAACATTTTCATCAGGAATTGGAGTTGAATGCGAAGATTTGGAGTCTATATTAGTTATTATTATTATTATTATTATTATGAGTTAATTTGGATTTATTTACTATTCTAATGTTGTTAGAATGTGGAGTTGGTTAGTGAGATTTTTTTATGATATCTAGAGAAAAAAATTATTATATAGAATAATTTCTGCCTTCTGATATCAGTCTAAGATCATTTAATCAACTAGATTGGCTTATGAAGAGACGGATTTTTTTTTTTTTGAATTTAATTGAGGGGTTATGTTAGTGCTATGATTTTAGGATATGAAATGTTTTCTTGGTGGATTTGCAAACAATTGAGTTGAGTTAATTATAATTACATGGTTCGACCATCTTAGACATGGAATTGGAACGGTTTCTAGTGTTGCCTTTACGTTTTGTAAGTTTAGACCACATGACTAAGTTTGGGTGATTCATAGCTATTAAAAAAAAAAAAAAGGTATAAGAATGGTTGATTAATTGGATAATGGACGAGGAGCATAGAACTTATTAATGAGGTTGGTTTAAAATTTTACCCAAATGTGTTTCCTTATTGTTAAAAGGAGAATGTGATTTTATCTCTTAAGAATATGTTGAATTAAGTAGATTCAAGGTATGGAAATACAACTAGAATCTTAAATTTATTACGATAGTAGGTGTCTTTGTAGTTTAAGAATGGTTTATATTATGGCGAATGGTTATGAGGTTTGAGACATGTAAGAAGCAGTTTTGAGGAGATGTACCATATTGTACTATAAAGTACATATACAATGGAGTTTGGGGATGTGAGATGGCTGATATTAGGAATTATAATGATTGTCCTTTGGGAAATGCTAATCAGGGCATTGTACCTAAAAGTTTAAAAATTTAAATGCATTCAGCATTGAAAGAGAAATATGTAAGATATTAGAGCTTGTGTTTCTTTTAATCATTTTAGTGATGAGGCGTAAATTAATTTATTGATTCTATTGGATTATCTTTGTGTGAAAGAGTTTATTTATGATATTAATATATTCTTACCATGGGTTGTAATGGTTAATTTTGGGGAGAGTATTGCCCATACGAATTCTCTTATGTTTGATGGTTCTTCTACAAGAATGTTTTAGGTTAAAGATTAAAGATAGGGATTTATAATGGAAGTATATTTTGTAGAAGTGTTATGTTGGTCTCACGCATGATATATTGTGAAGATACCCATAGTCATCCAAGGTTTGAATAAGGAAACTTGTGGATTTGTTTAGTGGTCTAAGCAAATGATGTTGAATAACTAATTTCCTTCAATGGGTGATGGTTTGGTAGGGAAGGATGTTTTGTCATAAAAGATTAGATAGATTCTTAAGGATTTAATTTGTAAGAAATATCTTATGGGTATTCTTTTCTGAGTGATTATGGGGTTTTAACTTTCCTCAATTGATGGTAAAATTGAATTAGCATCAAGGACATCGGATTTTGCATTGGTCTTGGAGTTGTGAATATTAAATTTCTATGTTATAATTCTAGCACTATGGAATAAAAGAGTTCTAATATCTTGGAACAAAGAGAACAAGGTCATTTGTGTGCACAAAATGGAGATTATATATTAGGTGAACTTTGATGTCATACATATATAAATCATGTGGATTTGAAAAGGATTGGAATGATGATTTATTAGAAGAAATCTAAAGTGGTATGGAAGTTTTATGGATGTTGATTTTGTAGGACACTATAGGAGTTTTCTGGAAAAAAAAAAATTATTATATCACACATGATTCGAAGTTAGAGTGAAATGATGGTTTTGTTTGTTTTCATATTGAGGAATTACTTGTACAGTGGAAAACTTGGAAAATTTTTACTAATTTTAAGAGTAAGTCTCTCTTGTTAAATAGACATGAATGTGAGACATAAAAAAAAAAAAAAATAGTGCTTCGAATTTTGAAGGATTATGATATGATCATTGCTTGTTATCTTAGTAAGGTTAACAAGGTTGCAAATTCTTTGAGTAGGAAGTTCTTGTCTAGTTTACCATATTTGGTTACTAAAAGTTGTTTTGAGGGGATTAGATAAATATGAAAGTTAGATTATGAGTGTGTTTGGGTAAATTCTTAACTGCTTATAAGTGTAGCTTAGTCAATAAAGAACATTGGAACTATACATGTAGAATAATGATTTACTCGAGGAGAGAAACTAGTTGGAGACATGATTTAAAATGGTGCTTATTGAGAATTATGGTAATAATTCATTCAATGATGGTGAATTTGGTTGTCATTAATAGGTTGATTAAGTTTGCTGATTTTCTTCACATCAATATTAGTATGTCAATAGATAGACTGGTAGAGTAATATGATAAGGAAATAGGAAGGATTATTATATTGATCACTTAATTTATCTTGTGATTTAAGGAATTAACGAAGAAGGTTTGGTGAAATTAAGGTTTGAGGTTTAAAATTATGATGAATTATTTCTTTAAATAATGGTAAATGATTTTGGTTGATTTATGACTTAACAAAGTTTAGAAATTGTGATCATGAATTGGAGTGGGATTAATTTAAGTTGTTATCCAATGATTAATTTCGGGTACCAATAAGGTCTTATGATTGATTGATGAGTCATTCATGAAAATCTAGGAAATGAAGAGATTGCTTTTACTTTAAGAGGATGATTGAAGAGGAAATTATAAATAAGGCATGGCATAATTGTTGTGAAGTTATGGTAGGGTACCCATAACAAGAAGAGAAACAATGTAAAATTTGGATAATGAACGAGGAAATGAAAAAGAAATATCGGGAGTTGTTCATAGATATGTTGAGAGCTTGTGTTTTAGATTTGAAAGGTGCCTGGGATGAATATTTGCCCTTAGTTGAGTTTGCCTACAATAATAGTTATCGGGCAAGTATCTAGATGATGCCTTATGAGGCTTTATATGGCAAGAAATGTATGTCTCCAATATGTTGGGATGATGTGGGAGAAGGAAGAAGGTTAGGACTGGAACTTGTTCAATAGACTGTAGAGAAGATACAACTAATTAGAGAACCTCTTTGTATAGCTCAAAGTAGGCAAGAGAGATATATTGATAGTCAAATGCGTGATCTAGAATTTCAAATGGGAGAAAAGGTTTTCTTGAAAGTTTCACCAACTAGAGGAGCCATGAGGTTTGGGATTCAAGGAAAACTTAATCCTCGGTTCATTGGTTCCTTTGAGATTTTAGAGAGAGTTGGAAAGGTAGTCGACATATTAGCAGTACCACCTAATTTGCCAAAAGCTCATAATGTTTTCCATGCCTCCATGTTAAGGAAATATGTTTCGGACCCTAGCCATATAATTGAGCATTCTCCACTTCAACTTAAAGAGGATTTGTCTTACGAGGAGCGTCCAATTCATATTGTGGATAGAAAGGATCAGGTGCTAAGAAGATGAATAATTCCTTATGTTAAGATTCAATGGAGTAATCATATTGAACATGAAGCCACATGGGAGTTAGAGAAGGATGCAAGGAAGAAGTACCCGTACGTATTTGTCGATGCAAGTACAAGTTTAGGGACTAAACTCTTTTAAGGGGGAGAGGATGTAATACCCAAGAATTTCTTACTTAAGATTTAAATAAATTATTTAAGCTCTTGGAGGGTGTATATGTGATAGAATTAAATTTGGGGTTAGAATTATAGTGAG